ACTCAAAGTACCCAAGGGCTCAACCCTTTAAAGAATTCCACTACAGCGACATTGGGAAAAATATCGAGGGTTGGGGTGATTCCGCCTATGCCCTTCCAGGGGGGGATTCAGTTTTGTTCTTGCCATTTAGGTTTGGTTGTTTGAATTAAGTACACCATCCCCTGAATTCGATCGAAACGTTCTTGAAATCGATCGAACAGATTTATTCAGTCCTTTTGTAATTTACGTGATCACTCGTTGAGAGGAATTCCAACGAAATCCAACGACATCAACTGGACAAATGTTTTTAAAAATCAACCAATGATCATTGGAAATGAGCAGCTACTTAATTAGTTTCACAGAATGTACTCATTCTAATTGTTTCGAGACGAAGTATAAGTTAACGTTGTCTATAACATTTTATGAATTTAAACCAAAAAGATTGAGCGGAAAGCCTACAACAGCTTTGAAATTACAAGCTTTTAAAGTTTGGAATTAGTTTCACAATAAGATTTTGTTGTATTAATCACCTGTCAACATTTCCAAACATATAAGCCTAAATAGAGTTTCAATTTATCAGTTACACGATAAAGATGTATTCTATGTATGAACCTAATAAAGAAAGTTAAGCATTCGTGATGTGCAAATACAAATTTAATTCGATATCAGACTTGCGATTCTATAGAGTCTTGAACTTGTCATATCATGACATTATTTTTACCACGGCACTCATAACCTTTATCAATAATAATGTTGTATCTGCGTGATCGTATCCGTGGGAATTAGTTTGCACTTTACTACACTGCAGTCGCTAGATGGCGCTATTTGAAAACTTTTGAAGAACACCCACGGTGTAGCGTCTTTAATGCTCTGTGGATGAAATATACTTCTACGGGCCAACATTACATGTCCACAAGGTCTTTTACTATGTATATGAACTACACGCCCTGTTCCCTGCACGGAATGATGAATTTGAAAGCTGACAAGTGGCGTATCCACATTCCGGGTCCAGGAAAGGGGCAAAATCAGATTATTTTCTGCAAACAACAGTCCTTTTTTAACCGTAAAGGAATCGTCATGGCCACCTCCCCGAAATTTGGTATTACCATTTGCTAGGGCTTTCAGTTAAACAAAAATGCAGTAGATCTAGAAGGGTAATTTTCCCCCTTTCCCCCCCCCCCCGCTGGATATTAAAGGCACCCAAACTTTTTAATTAGTTCCCAGATAACAAGCTGGGGAGAGATAAGTAACTCCTCCCACAGCGAGATACCACGTTGACAAACATTTTGCATGTGGCCAGGACAAGCTTTCGTGATTAAAATCATTACCAATGTTGGGTACAAAGAGTCAGGTGATCAGTAGGTTTCCATTAATGTGCGCCAGTATATCTGAGTCCGTGCACACCCTTTTCTTTTTTTTTTGTTTTTTGTTTTGTTTTGTTCTTTGCTTTCTTTTCTTTTCACATTTCTGGGCGTTTCGGCTACCTATTATACACCATGTGACGAGAACACGTGTTCCTCCAAGAATCAGGCGTATTTGACGAACTGTAGAGTGGGGCATCTGCAATGATATTTGGTTCATTGGCATAAGGCTGCATGCTCGTAATTGGATGAATTTTACATACCAGAATCACACCTAGTGTTTGCTGACCAATGGCCGACCCTCTGTCATAGTAGTATTCACGGCAAGGGCGGAGTTAAATAACAGCAAAAAGCCTTAAATGCCGACAAACTACCAACAATCGGGCACTAGCATTTTCCATCTTCACGACGCTACCAAAGTACCGAAACTTTGTAGTATAATTATAAAAGCTCGCTAGTGATCACCAAGATGAACACGCTTATTGTGTTTGCCTCTTGCTGCCTACTGTTGAGTCTGCAGGCGGCCGGTTCTCCATTTGGCTACGACGAGATTCACTCAATGGTAAGCTACTATAATATGAGGAGGATCACTATTGAAATCGTGGCAAATTCATTACTTGCAGTTACTTTGAATTCCCTCTCTTATACCTGACGCCTTGTCTGAGTTCGTATGTTGTTTGGATTCGCATGACTGAATTATATGTAAGTCAGTCCATACTTCCGTATAATTATGCGGGAGACTCCATGCATGAACCAGCAGGTATTCTATACCCTCGATGTATTCACGTGCTTTTACATCTTTATGTTGGAAATAGGGCCACCATCGACACTCGCGGAGATGCGTTAGGCACGAGGGAGTTCATTTTGTGGGAACAAATTTGCGGGTGGCAAACGTCTTTTGATGGCGCAAAACAATTGGGCGAGGCTACCTTCGGGGGCTTTCCACGCGCTTTTTTGAAGTAATGGAAATGAAACAGACTAAACCAATCGGTTTTCCCATTATTTTATTTTTTTCTTATAAATTTGAGCTCCTGTGATGAGGGCATTTCCCTGTTGCCACCCCAACTTACCCCGCTTCTGCCTTAAATTCGCATTTCGGTTGGTTTATTTTAAGCTTTTTACAGCATTTGTTTCTTCCCCTGCCTCCGTGTCTTTCGTAGCAGACACATTGATATTTTCACAATTTGACAGACATGTTATGCCTAATGCTTTCATAACATTCGACATGAATGTTATGGTTACATGGTCTTGGAAACGCTTTAAGGACGTCTTTATGACATTTAAGAGAACGTTGGCGAACTGTCTTTGCTATGTTTAATTAACATTTTGTTCAAAGATGAAACTGATGTGTTCATGGCAGTATTTTCATTTTATAAAGGATGTTATAGCGATATGGTCTTGCAAACATTTTTATGACATTTGTATGATTTTTGTACGAAATGTATGAGCAATGGTTTTGTTGATGTAGTACTAAAAAATCAAAATAACGTTTCATGATTCTATCAGCGTACTGAACTTCACACCTTGTTCACCTCCCAATCCACGTGAAGCTTCATTGCTGTCTTAATTTCCCACTTGTTCCTGCAACGAATGAATCCAAGACATTACATCCACCACCGTATCCTGAAATCAAAACACATAAGTTAATTCGCGATTGGAAGTATTTCAGGGTAGATAAACGCCTGTGATGCGCCACATCTTGCTGTATGGATCTGGATCGTATTTATGTATTGCTATATCATTGTCCATCTTAGTCACAGTAACCACGGAAAGAAAATTATTGTATTGCAATACTTTCCCTATTTAAGTCATTTTGTTTCTTTGAAACTATGAATCATCAATTTCTACATCTCTATCTCTATTGAGTAAACTGAAACGTTTGGTTACAAAAATGACAGATTTGCAACAACGCTTGATAACCACGTCCACCTAGGATCAATATGTAAAAGCAACATGTCAAAGCAACATTGTAATGGTAGTTTTGCAACATACCACATTGTAATAACGTCATTACACTGACAGGTGAACACTGTCTAACAACATCATCCAACAGTAACAGCATTCATGTTAAGCATAGCTTTTTAAACATCCCTTGCATTTAAAATAACATTTTCATTGCATCAATTGAAAACTGATTTTATTTTTTACAAATTTATTTCTGCCCAAAGTTTTGGATGTTATTTCTGACTTCTGAACATATATGAATACTCTCATAGACCCAAACCTCGGTGAATTACATTAAGCTTTCTTTATATTTATTCAACGTCACTTACATCTAAAATTAGTGTGATTCAGAAGCATCATCGAAACATTTCAGAAACAAAACTACAATGTTAAAGTGATATTTTGAGAGCATCAGCATACTTCGTTGATATTCCTTTTGAAATATGTCTGAAACGTAATTTCTGATTTTCAATAACAATTTATGACGTATGTTCAACGTATTTAAACGTCAGCAGTATAGTTCAGCATAATCAAATATCCATGAAATGTTTCAATAGCGTTACAAAATGTTTGTATAATATTTGTATGATATTCCTGATCATGGTAGCTACAGTTTTGAAAGTACATTATGCCAACATCGCTTTCATTTTAACTTCCAACTATCGATAAAATGTTGTTACTATGATGTTTGAAAGAAACTGAAAACATCAAAAATAAGCAAGTTTTAAATATTAAAAGGTGATGTTGAAGTGAATTATTTAACCGTTTGTTTATACTCCGTTGATTCAAATATTCATAACACGTTTTGAAAGTGTTACCAACACCGGTACATAACATTTCCTTGATATTTACTCAGCATTTTGGCTACTCCGCAGCAATACGAGTATATTGAATTTGCATCATTTGAGCCTTTCAGTGCCATACTATAATAACGTTTAAATAATGTTGAGAAAATATCACATTTTAAAAATTAAACCATTTCAAAGAATCGGTGGTGATGCTTTCGTCTATTCAAAGATTTATAACAGCTGAAATTTAAACATTTTAAGCACTGCTATGAATTCACGTGTAGATAACATTATCAAAACATTGGCGAACAAATCTTTATATAAACTTCGAAATGTCGTAAATAAAAATTTAGCATTGGTTGCTTTTCGCTGTAGACTCGGTTTCAGATATTTCTCTAAAACAATTACATAGCATCAATTTAATATGTCAGATTAATCTGGGCGCATTCACATACGTTATTAAAGCGTTTCTGTGCTTTGCATAACGTTTCTGTGCTGTAATTGAAATGTCATTTCAAAATGTTTTTGAAACAACAAAGGAAAGAGCTTCAAAGCATTAAGCACATACACAATGGGTCAACAAAATGGCCTCTACGCCCTAGTCAGTTTTTGCTAGTTTCTTAAATAAAAAAACAAAAACAAAAAACACAAATGCAATCAACCCCTGTTTTTGCCAATCTGTGTTCATGTTGAACAGCCTAATTTAGTCGATTTAAATGTCGTGGATTCCCCTTAGCTAGTCAGTCAGCGCGCAGCCCCCGTAAAAGTTGCTCCTTTCATTTGCTACGTATGCACGGCTGTCTGAATCATTCATATATAATAAGATATGTAGTGGACTTTTCAAATTTGTATACCACCTTGTATCACCTTTAAGAATGGAATGTCTTTATATAAATGAACAGTTAAGATATCAGTCTCGTGTCCTTTGTAAAAATATAAATATCTGCAGTCTCTTTTGAAGGAAATTGGCCGTAAAACGTAGCCATTCGTGTGTAACAATGCGGGTAAAACGGTTTCAGTGGATCGAAATCTGCGCCGGCAGAATTGTCTTGACGGCAGAAAGATAGAGATGTCATATATCATGCCAAACAATAAGTTTTTACTTTTCAAGTCGTTGCGAAACAGTCAAGTGCGCCCAGAATATTTGGTTATCGCAGGTTTAGACTTCGTGAGACTTCGTGAGAAAACCGTCGTATGTGTTTCGTGAAAGACTATCTGTAATTGGTCGATTGACATATTCTCTCTAATACTGGCCAATCAAATGACACCAGAGATACGCGTAAATGTGTGTGACCGAAACCGGGAAGCCAGACTTAGCATCGAAGGAAACCTAGTGAATGTTGGTTGTTTACTGGGGAACCAGTACAAATGCAAAAATGTAAACACTGCCGGGATTGCTGAGTGAGTAGTGCATAAAACTTTACAATTTTGATTGGCCCGGCAGCCAAGATGTTGGTATTAAAGGGATGTTTAATCATTTTCGTGAAGAATTGTAAGACTCAATTTTATCCAGTTATTGCGAAACAGTCAGGTGCGCTTAAAAAGAGGAGGCCTGCGATTTTCGTGAAAAACACTAAGCAAGTTTGCTTCCAAATACATTGTTGGGATATTGTTGGATCATCGCTGAAACATAACTTTTCTGATAGTGAAAAACGTGAACTATCTACTCACGTAGCCATTTCGACCCAAGAATGAAGGAACGGATTTCCTGGCGGGTTGAAGGGACACTGCTGTATTCTCGCTTTTTCTCGCGAGCTCCCATGTACTTGCGAGATCGTTTTTGCGTGCAAATGGAATTGCCAAAAATGCTCCCTAACGGAGGGCCTGAGCGTTGATTGTAGTAAACACAATTTTCGAGTCGGCTTTTGGCCAAGTCCCGCGTATAAACATCTCCACCACATGCCCCCATGGGAATACTTACACAGCTAAAGCCAAAGCTTGTCAAGGCTAGCCGAGGTCTGTCAAATTATCATGTCCAGCAGGTCAGCGGGCGAGTCTCTTCGACGTGGGTAGACGCATAAATCTGGGCTTTTTCCCTGGTGGGACGTGGAGCTTTGAATGTTCAAATCTTCAGACTTGATTTCTTGTAAACATCAAACACTATGTCCACTCTGTTGTGTTTACTACAATAATTCACCACCTTTGGAAGGATGCCCTCTCTAGCAGAGATACCAAATATCTTAGAAGTACGTGGGGGTAAGGAGTTGATAAGGGCTGAACCATCAATGATAATGGAGTCTTTCCCTGGCTTGCTGCCTGACTGTCGAATTTAGGCCAGCTGGGACTTCTGGCAAGCTTGAAGCCTTCCACTATCACTGAGGGAGGCAGGCGTGGACTGGTAATCGTGTTCAAAGTATTCATGTAAGTCACACTCTCTGGCCTGGCAAGAAAGGAACAATTGGCAGTCATCTTTTAGCACTTCCTCTTTTGACCTGCTAGTGCCCTGTCTGTGCTTGAAGGAAGAAGTGTTTGTTTTCTTGATTGGGTTATAATATGAACATTTCCCTTCATCCTCCAATCCGTCTAAGAAATAACTGAAACTTCTCCTTGACTCCCTGGAGATGTATACAAACAGATTTTGCAAGAGTTGGATCTGGGATGTTTTTTTGTGTCCAGTACCAGTAGGTCTGCTCACTCTTCTTGGAAAGTGTTACCCATCTCCTTTAACACAGTGAAGAGTGCTCCTACCTTCTCCATGACAGACATCCGGGCACTTGTCATTTGTTCATGATGTTTGCTGCTGAGTGCAGTATCTTCCACGTCAGAAACAGCCTCCTATCCAGCACTACACGGCAGCCTCCTATCCAGCACTACACGGCAGCCTCCTATCCAGCACTACACAGCTTACCTCAGGTCCAGCCACCATCCACCTCCGAAGGCGAAATAGTTGTGATTACTGCCTAAGTACCAGACGGTTGTACTTGGAACGGCCACTATGCAAACCTGGCTCCTTGCCGACATCATAGTGATGCAACTACATTCTGAAAGTTGTCGTTTTAAATCGCAAAGCAATTCATAGTTCTGCACCATAATGCTCAATCTCATCAATGATATGTTGATTCTCAGTTTCGATTTTTGTTTTCTATTTGCTTCAGTAACTAACAGTGTTGTCAAATAAAGGGTCATATTCACCCTGCCCAACTGTCTTTCTGTCAAGCCGTTAATGTGTCTGTCTATCTGTTGCTCGATCCATCAATATGATTATTGTTTGTTTTGTTTTCAGTCCAAGAAATACACAGAGAAGTCTGAACCGGAAACAGGTAAGGTGTTACTTCATTAGTGTAAAGGTTTTCACTACAAAGGTTAGTTAAAGCCTCCTTTGTCAGAACAATAACTTGATGGCATGGTTTGGAAGGCCCAAGGTGTTCATGGGGAAATTCCAATTGAACATTTGAAAAGATTTTTTAGTTTTAGGAAATGAAGCCAGCTTTTGTTTAGGACTTATATGCAGGTCAGCTTTAAATATATTAACGTATACATGTAAATTGTAGAGTATAGGTAATAGGTTTGCCACCCATTTGAACGATCATTCCAACATAAAAAAATTACTCTAGTGTACTGTTAAAAGGACCGAATTCACCAAAACAATAGTGAAACGTCACCTACTTAGCCAATAATTTGGATGGAATACTTCAAAAATTTTTCTTTCATATTTCCATTAAACAATAAGAAATCAGAATTGGCTTCAACAAAATATCAAAGATTTTCAAAAGAAAACTAGAGTTTTGTCATTTTGCAAGAGTGTGTTTAAGACAACCACAATGTCGAGGATGCTTCCACAAGGTTTAAATCCCGCTACACCGTGTTTAATTATCTGAAAAAAAAAATGTCTTCCGTCATTAGGCTAATCGATTTCGGAAAACAAGTTGATTTCATGTGAAGAATGAATTTAACAAAGTAGCATCCCTGTATTTACCACGATCACTCTGGGACTCTTTGGTTTTACGCAATAACGCCATAACACCATCGAAGTATAATCAAATTGTTCGTAAAGCTAGGCAATCATCATCTAAATAATCCGAAAAAATAAATGTGAAAAGATAATTACATCAAGTGGAACCAATGAGCGGCATGGTCAGAGCCCAACTTTAAATCACCCATGTTAATTCAAAATAAAGCTAAACAATCATCGTCTAAATCATCCGAAAAAATTACTGTAAAAAAAGATAATTACATCAAGTGGAACCAATGAGCGGCATGGTCAGAGCCCAACTTTAAATCACTCATGTTAATTCACAATGTCATTCGACCGAAAACTGAATAGAAAAATAGTTTTCTGATGTCGAAAATGTTAGTGTAAATATTGATTTTACAAACTGATTTAAGGGGGAGAATCGACGTATAACTAAAGAAAACGTAAAACATTTCTGCAGGCTAGGGACATTCAACTTCATGCAAGTCAAGCATCGAAAGGAGTCGATATTCAGTGGTTAAACACGATCCTTTACAGAATCGAACGCTTTGTAGAATCGATTAGAATTGAAGATTGCGGAGACATTCTCCAGTGACTCCTTTGCGAGGGAAGGAGGAACGGATTCTGATGCACTGGCCCCATTTTTATGGGCGGCCTAGGGGCAAAATCAATTTTAAGAAAATAAGCAACTACGAGCAAATTGCATTTTCTTATTGAAACATTAAATAAAAAGGAAAAAAACGAACACCAAAACTACTTAATACAAACAAATTGCTGAAAAATTGAATAACAAAAATAAAAGTAATACGTCACTTAAATTAATTTCACCAAAATTAAACAATTACGGGCGAACAACATTTTCTTATAAAAAAATATAAAAATGTAAATAGTAAAACACACAAAAAACTCAAAAAATTTATAAAAGAAATTATTTAAAAATACATTACCAACATTTGAAAACAATATGCCCCCAAAAAGTTCCCAAAATGAAACACTAAATCAAAATACGAAATAGTTGAAGTAAAAAAAAAGAAAGAAAAAACAAAACAAATTGTCCAAACCAAAAGTCGTCAGCAGTTTACTTCAATTTTTAACATTATTAATAAACCCTTTTGGCCGCAAATCAATAGACAAATTCTCAAACAAACTAACTTGGTTCCATCGTTGGGGGCGTCCTATACCATATGCAACCATGTGTAGGTGCGATTAGGCAATGCCCATGATCGCGCAATCTTGAAGCGGTCTGTCGATCTTGCTGCTCAGTATTATTTGGTAAAAAAAAAATTGACATCAGCTAATTGCCCTTTGTTTCTAGTTAACATTTATGGAAGATTGTTTCACAAAGGGGAAGTAAAATTGGAGAATTCATGCAAAATATACTAATAGCGCAATGCGTTCGCGCGATGGTGCAGATCGACCGAGAGCGCCTAACACATACCAGTGCAGCATGCATACAGCTACAGGCAGGCGCAGCGCAGGCGGGCAAGGGCCGGGAGGATGTATAAGAAGGGGCGTAATCATACATGTCGCCTCTTTAAGGTTGGTTGAGTGGAGTACGGCTACCACCTTGAATTTCATTTTTTTGTTCCGGACTCTGTTCCCAGCGCCCCCAACAATGGAACCAAGTTAGTTTGTTTGAGAATTTGTCTATTGATTTGTGTTGAGTTTGTTAAAAGAAACCCGGGCTGCCAAAAGGGTCAAAATCGGCCCAAAGAGTCAAAATTCATTTTACAAAAATTAAAGTATTGTACGGTAGAACCAAATTTGTTTTAAAAAGTTTCTAACGATTTGCGTCTAGCTTTGTTGTTAAAAATCAAAGAAACTGCTGGCGACCTTTGGTTTGCACAATTTGTTTCCTTTTTTTTAAAATCAATTATTTCGTATTGTGATTTACTGTTTTCATTTTAGGAACTTTTTGGGGGATATTTTTTCCAAATGTTGGTATTTTATTTTTAAATAGTATCTTGAATAAATGTTTTTGAGTTTGTTTTGGGCTTACTATTTACCTTTTATAAGAAGATGTTGTTCGCCCGTAATTGTTTTTTTTTTGTTGAAATTAATTTAAGTGACATATTACTTTAAATTTTTGTTAATTAATGTTTTAACAATTTTTTTTCTCAAATGGCTTTTGGTGTTTGTTTTATGTTTTATTATCAAATTTGTTTAATAAAAAATGCAGTTTGCTCGTAATTTCTTATTTTTGTTAAAATTAATTTTGGCCCTTTTGGCCGCCCTTAGGTTCCAGCCTATTGAATGTAGACGAACATCTGGCCTCCTAGGAAATGTCCAAGTACAATGGTGTATTCCACACCCTTTGTTGTTGGATGGCGACATATACGCTTTAGAACTCAAAATAAATATTTCCTACTTTATGTTATTTGAAAAGCATGACAATGCAATAATGGAAAATGTTATCAAAATCACTCTACGATAGTGTTGTTAATCCATTCCAAAAGCTGCTATTTTAAGTTTTTTTTGTTTGTTTGTTTGCTGTGTACACACCTGTTGATAAAGATTTCGAGTATAGGCCCTGTGTAGTTAATTTTGTGCCCTTACTGTCTTGTTCTTTTGTTCTCGCCCTAACCATTTATATCTTTAACAATGTGGCTTCGTCACGGTGGGTGCAATGTGGACATCACCAGATTTGATGTTTATCTGTTGATAAAGAAAAAAAAAGTACACGAAAAAAGTGAAATAGACCTGTCGCACAATGACGTCAAGCACTGTTTAATGCTGCACTTTCCTATGACAGGTGACGTGGAACACGATCCATCGAGCCCCACAGGAAAGCACATATAAAAACAAAGCGTGTTTCGGATCTATTCCGATCTACATTTTGGTTTTTGTTTGTGTTCTATTGTTAAAATTAATTTTGGACTTTTGGCCGCCCATATTTTTTTTGTATTCGTATGCCCACCAACCGTCGCGACGGCTACTGAAAGCAGGCATGATTGGGTGTTATAGACCCTACAATCCCTTCTAATGGCATTTAAAATGATCAGTAGGTTCACTCCAGCTCCTGCCAATAAAAAACGCAGAAAAAAAAAGTTAGAGATTTTTTCTTTGGTCGGGGAGGGGACTCATCGGACAAGCCACACAAAAAAAATAAATAAATAAAATCAACGAAACCCCCGCCCACCACAATTAATCAACCCAGACAGCTGTCTAAAAAGATCAGAGAGACCGAACAATGATATAAGACATGCTCCGGCTTGCCCTGGCACTGTCTGTGTAAACACTCCCATATTATCACTTGGCTAAGATATTTATACACAATCCTATGGGACTTGACCGGAGGCCGGCTCGGGCGTAGCTTATACCAGCAAGGGGAAGTCCCGACCTTAATGGGTGACTCAACTAGGCTGTTCAGCATGGACAGAGATAGGATTTGGTGGAAGGTGATTGTATCTGGCTGAAACGTTTTTAATTAAGAAATTAGAAAAACGGGCGTCGGCAGCTTACCTTGAGGGCTCTTGTTAGGGTTTTTAAATCTCAGCTGTGTCATCTGTTTTAACTTGACATGCGCGTCAGCATACGCCTTATCATTATAAATGTGAACTTTAAACTAATCAAATATTTGGTTTTGTTGTTGCGGTCATTCGAAGTTCAAGCCTACGTGCGTGCCAGCCAGCGTGCATTGAGCATCGCAGTGAAAAGGTAATCGCGTTGGAGTGTCACGTCCCTGAAAAAAAAGCGCGATGTAAAGAAGCAGGCAAAGATCTTAACAGGAAACCCTAAGGGCTCAGCTCCTCAAAAAACTGCACTGCGTCTATATCTGAAAAAAAAAAAAAGTTGAGAAAGGCGGGTGTTTCACCAACGACTCTTTTAGGGTTAAATAAATCTTATGTTCACCGAGGTGGTAGGTCGCCCACAGAATGGCCAGAAATCACGTGATATGTTCGTTCCACCAATGCTATACATGACCTTATCCACATCCCGTGACTTCTTCCAACTATGCCTGTTGCTACTTTTAGAGGGGGTTTCACTAATGGAGTCATCCGATCAGTCACTGAAACAGGGCGGGCCAAACCTACACTCCCTTATGTTCGTGCAAAAAGTGCTGCTCCCATATGTTTGTACACAGACTCCCTCCTGCCACGTGTCTGCTACATGTTTGTGAAAAAAATATGCTCTCCGTCTTGCAAAAGTGGACCAGGCCTCTGAGTTACTGCCTTGTATCATTGTAAGCTTGTCTGGAGCCTTCTGGTTTGCGCCTAGCATTTGATCAAGGCGCCCGCGGCGAAATGGACAGTCGCTCAACAGCAAGGCACTGGAGGAGACTAGTTTTAACACCAAACCAACGCACAAGAAAGACTACACGACGAACCGCTCGCGGCGGCGCGCACAGTCCACGACACACATAGCTCGGCTACTGCATGCGCAGGCATGGTTAATTTTGGGATTGTATGCAGTTCGTCGTATGGTTTTGACTTCCACTTCGCTGTGGGCGCTTTGATCAAAGGCCAGCAGGAGCCCAGCAGAGAGTTTACTGTCTTCCAATGAATAGGGCGAAGGCCTTCCGCGGGAATCTGATTCTGACCATTTGAGAAAAAATATCTCTGAGTGACCACGCAAACTGAATGACACACAGGCTAGCCTGAGAATGTTTCCATCTCTTTTATTCAGAGAATATGATTCATGAGACCTTTGTAATAATAAAAATGATTTGGCCACAATGTGACAAGGCGCCCCACAGCTGCCAAAAAATCACACCTGCCATCTTGTGAATCATTAATACTGCATCGGTGTAGAAACGTCTCAAGAGACCATGCAATTGAAGTATTCTACCAAACCTGCACCTTTTTGTTTCAATTAAACCTATCCTCGATCTTAATTTGCTCTCCCTGGTTATCTTTATTTTAGGCCATGTGGTCTTATACTACTATGAATTAGCATATTCATCGGCAAAAATGTGATAAAATCCGAGGAAATGATCCTCCGTGTAACGATTTGTGTATTCTTTTTACTTCGCCATCAAAGATTTCTGTTTTCTTTGGCAGCCTCTTGTTGTATTAGTATATGTGGCAGCAATCCAACCGGCAACTGTTTCTCAGAACTTTATATAGTTCAGTTTCATACGTCGAAGGGAATTATTATTAAATACGCAGAATGAGTATTCAAAACATCATTGCATTATTCATTTAATTATGTACATGGCTATTAGGTCAACCTGCCTGCCAGCTAGGTGTAATCTGTTTATAATCATGGAGGTAGGAACTCCATGGTATAATGTTACAGGCACGGCTTTCCTGAGTGTTCCGCAGATTTCAAACAAAACGGTTTGAACTACAATGGTTTTTAAAATGCCGAAATAGAATGTCATGAAAGGTTTTAGGGGCCGAATGTTACACATTACTCAGTAATATTCATCTGTTAGTGTTGTTCTGCAGCGCTTAAGTCACTTCAGCCTCAGTTCTTTCCTAGTTTCATATCTCAAGACTGGCTATCGTCTCGCTGCTTTAAACTACACATAATTATCCCAGCCGGGAGGGTGTTTTGTTACTAATCAGGTTGTTGTTGTGGGGCCAACGCGTTGCAACGGTTGGAGGTGACGGGATGAGGTAGTTGGGGTGGCGATTTGGGTTGATGATAGCGACAGGTGGTGGGCTTGAGTGGTTGGGTTGATGGTGGCTGTGGGATGGCGCAAGTGGTGATAATAATGATTATGATGGGGGGGTACCATGATGCCACACCTTGAATGTCACTGACTTTATTAAACCATATTTGTTGCTAATTGTTCACTTTTAGCCTGGGCTATTCCGGTCTCCGACTCCAGCGCCCCTCCACCAATCAACGTTTCTGTAGTAACCAATTACATCACCACAGAGGTGCAAACGCTGGCCCAGGAGGCGGAAATTACTTTCATTGGTCAACTCTGCGAGCAGTCCAAAGGCTTTGAGGTAGAGGTGACCGTTCTGCTCAACAACAACCCCGACTGGGACCCTTCCGTCGGCGTTTTGTATTACTACGTAGTTGATGACCCAAATAAGGTAATAATATTTTCCAGTGATTCCAGTATTTCACAAAGGCAAAATTATTCCAAAACTCTACGTAGGCGTACAGGTTAATTGGCTGAAGGCGCCTTTTCATGATTATGTACGTCCAAATGACCCATTCTTATACAATGACCCATTCTTATGTGCGTTGCGTTAGGCAGTCAAAATTGCCCCGGGAGCGATTTTGAGGGATATGCGATGTTCAGCGCAATGTTTACGCGCATATGGAAAGTTGCCTTTATATTCGCTAAAAATACAGACCGCATGGGTGCATATTGCTGTGCCCGAATGGGATCAGCTTAATTCGTATTTGGGCTCATCCTCTGCTCGAAATACCGAGTTGGTTCGCTTGGGGAAACTATTTTTCTCGACTGCATCAAAATGGTTTTGCTGTGTATCAGTCCGTGAGAGGAGCTTTACACCATAGACTTCGAGAGGACGGCTGTACGTCAGTATGGCTCCCCTCCCAAAGTTGTTTTTGCCCTCGTCACCTTAACACGCTGTGTTAACAGTGGCATAGCTAGGCTTTCACTTGTAGGGAGCACAAGGGCCGGGGGCACCAGCATCTTATGGGGTGCCAGCTTTCTGTGGTGTCTTTTTGTGGGCAAGCACTTGTTAGCCTTGTTCAACATCCATTCATCTGTTTTAATAGGGGGCACCTAGGGGCACACCACCCCCTCCCTCTGTGACTACGCCCCTGTGTGTTAATACGTCAGATGGAAATCTTTTAACTTTGGGGGATGTGGTATGTGCTTATACTTTACAGGGCAGTTCTGCAGCGCTTTGCAACAACTCCCCTGGCGGTACACCTCAGGCCAACTGTACCGTGAAAGCCTGGCCTAGCAACGGGGACATCTACATCAAAGGACACGCCGGCCAGTCAGAGGCCGTCTCCTTCACGCTGTCTGTTACTATGAAACAAAAGGTAAGAGGAGAGTAGAAAGAGTGAAAACTTTTACATGTACACACACATACATACTTACCTTACATACCGACTGTGAACATTCCTTTCTTTTCGTGAAGTTTGTTTTATTTATTTATTTTTTTTCTCTCGAGGGAGCTATAAGGCTCCATTTATTCTTCCGTCAATTTATACAAATCACATCAAAATCAAAACCAGAACCAATACACAACTACAAAGGTACATAAAACAATTAATTATATACAATTAAAAGTGGAAAATTATAAACACGAAAAATTACAAAACGAAATACAAGAAAAACAGTACGAGGATAACAATGAAATTGTGAGACGGAATTAATGGCCAAATTTTATGTGGCCACTGGCCTCTACAGAACACAGAACATTTTTTTTTGCACAGACACTTTGAAAAGCATCGCTGTTAAGTCTTGTGTTTTTCTGAATGTAGAAACAATTTCAAATTCCGTTGAAACTGAAAAATTATGTCGACATCCGGAGCATATGTGTAGTTACCAAAAGCAATTTTACATCTTATGTTCCATATCTGTTGCAACATCTTGGTGGCACTTACTGTTGGAATGGGATCTAAATTACAACCAAGAACTCTGTTACTGTCATTAAGACCGAAAAATCTATTACCAGTATATTCTCTTAGGATCTACCATTGGCCATGGCTCCAGAATATGAAGACAATTAACAAACAAATGCTTGTGAGTTTCATCCTCTGCTCTAAAGGGAGGACAGAGTGTCTCAGAAATCTGGTGTAATTTGAACAGGATATCTTTAGTTCGGGGAACACGATGATTCAATTTAAACAGAAACTGCTTATCATCGGGTTCAAGCAGATAGTTGTCGTAACAAAACTGAGGGTCAATCCAAAGACTTAACGTTAAGAACATCTAACCACACAGCCTGATCCAATAATCCAATAATCAAACAACCTGGTCTACCTCCCTTCTTCTGATGCACATCGCACAAACCACTGCAATTTCAAACTCATTGGCTTTGTATGGACATCAATAAGGCCAGTACCACCCTTGTTCTTCGGGCCGGTAATAGAACTCCTCTTAATTTTTTCAACTATCTCACCCCCCCAAAAAAAAATCCAAATGGCGTTATTGATTTTCTTTTTGAACTCAGAGGGGCAGGCTGAAACACTTCCAAGATAACTAATCCCTGCACCAACAAAGGTATTGACAATAACGGCCTTGCCATGATAGGTGAGGTTACGTTTCGACCATCTCTGCAAAATACTTGTGATTTTGTTAATCCCAAAAAGGTTACCAACAACAACACCAAGGATTTTCATGTTCTTAAGCCAAGAGAAGTTACATGGGGTATCCGTCCTATCACGCCATTTCCCTAACCAAAGCCCTTTAGTCTTCTGGACGTTCAGTTTAGATCCAGATCCATGCCAAAACGTATCAAGAATGTTCCGGATAGCGCCAAACTCTGATTCTTCACTGACAAACAGGTTAGTATCGTCGGCATGTTAAATAAGACAGATACTCTGGTCACAAGTAGGAAATCTAACCCCATTCAAAAGGGCATTGGTCCAAATCAAGGACGCTAAACCCCTTTGCACAAAAAGAATTGAGTAGAAGTGGCAAAGGACACCCTTGTCTTATACCACGCGACACCTGAATCGGTGCCCCAATAAAATTGTTAATAATTATACTGCAATTAGGTTTACTGTATAGAAGATTAATCCACTCAATCAAAGTCGGGGGAACTCCTATCTTTGTCAAAACCCAGAACATGTAAATCCAATTGATAAAATCGAATGCTTTTTTCTTGATCGAGGCTAACAATTGGCCCAGTCAAATTATTCCAGTTCACATAGTCAATGACGTCTCTAAGTATCAGGAGGTTTCTATGAATATTCCTGGAAGGAACCCCACAAGATTGTTCTTCACCAATAAAAATAGGCATATTAAGCTTAAGCCTGTTAGTAATTACTTTGGATAAGATCTTATAATCCACACCAAGTAAGCTAATAGGGCGCCAGTTTTTAAGATCATCCTTATTCCCAGACTTCTTATGAATAAGCCTAATCAAAGCCGCGTTCATTGATTTACACAAAAAACCGGTAGTAAAACACTCATTAAAAGATTATCCCAGATCACTTCCGATTATGTCCCAAAAGGCCTGGTGGAACTCTACCGTAAGACCGTCAAGGCCTGGAGATTTATTCTTATTCATATGGAAAAGAGTGTTTGTAGTCTCTTCCAGAGATATATTACTTTGTAAGAGGTCCTGAAAATCACCTGGAATATGTTTACTCTCAACCTTGGAAATAATTTGGATGAGAGGTTCCAGAGAGATTTCCTCAGAAGTATATAACGTACTATAAAAGTTATTCGCACATTCCAACCAATCTCTCGGATTGTTAACATACCTCCTTCAGTGTTAAGTTTATCGATTTTGCTATTTTGAATTTGTTCTTTTTGTAGGTTCAGGAAATATTTCGATGGCTTTTCGCTTTATTCTTTGAGAATGTTTTTAATTCTGATTCGAACTTTTTTCCTTTCATCAATTTCACAAGTTTGAAGCTCAGATTGATCATCTTGAATTTCTTCGATTCTACTCTGCTCTGAATCGTTCATTAAAAAATTATACTGTTTTTGTAACCTGATCTGACGATGTTTCTTCTTTCGAACCTTTTCTCGCCCATAATCCTGAATAATTTCTTTTATACGAAGTTTTCCTATATCCCACCACTCATTTAGAGTTTCATAGCCTCCTTTTGCGATCTCCAGAAAAACCATAAGGGGCCTGATTGATTGATTTGATTGATTGGTTGCTGGATTGGTTGGTTGCTGGATTGGTTGATTGACTGACTTATTGATTGATTGATCGATTCCATTTATTTACCCAGGGTATATATACCCAAACATTTTCAAGCTGGTATCCATTGGGGCCCTGCGAACATAAATTAATACAATAGTTAGAAACTCATGATGAAAAGTAAAATTGACAAATACGACTAACATTAATATTTACAAATACAGACCACTACAACATCATACACATGTGAACATTTAAATAATCAAGGGATTAATTAAACACTGATCATTGGATGGGCGAAAACCCCGCACCAAAAAAACCTGTGGGGAAAAAAAAGAACACGGGGAAATTACCGATCCTGCTCCAATGAACATTGGCAATCAAGTTGACAACTCCATAGATCAGCTTTTTGGACTAAACAGCACTGGTCATGGACTTCCTTAGTTCTGATTTGAATGTCCCTAAGGAGTCTATACCGTCTGAGTTGCTCGTGCAAATTGTTCCATATTTTTGTATCTTTCACCACAAAACATTGAGCGTAGCATTCTTTTTTGGCTAGAGGGACTTTAAGTGTCTGTTAACCGAGTATCTTGTTTCACAAATCTGTGTGAGTGACATAAACAAATTTGTCATATACATAGAAGCTAATTTGTTTAGACATTGAAAAACAAGAAGAGGCTTTTTAGATCTAACCCTCTCGGAAAATGGTACCCAGTTCAGTGTAGCAAACATACTCGCTGAGGGGGTGAGAGAGGTGCATTTGAGGATTATCCGTGCAGCTCTTTTTAGACATTTTTTTAAGTTTCTCGGGATATATGTATCTTTCTCCCCATACCGTGCAACAGTATGCTAGAGTTGGCATAACTAAGCCAGCGAAAAGTGTGTGCAGGCTGCTTTGTCTGACATGGTTCCAGATTCCGTTTAACATACCTAATTTAGGTAAAAAACAAGTTAAACAAACCCACACATACCCGTGGGTAATGTTTTGCTGTAGCTGTTTTCCAGTTCACCAAATGCTGGCCAACACAAATATAAAATCAGATGATACAGAGGCGAAACGAACAACTAAGCTAGAGAACATGAATGGTTTTTATTATTAGAATAATTATTTTGAATGCAAATAGGCCGGCATCAAACCAACACCGTTCTTCTTCGACAAATCACCGTTCCGAAATCTGGAGAGGACTCCCAGTGCCAACAACCCCACCGTCTACCTGTCGCAGGTCGTGACCCTCTCCTCCATCCAACCGCTGGGCTACCACAAGTCGGCGCTGTTGGCCTTCACTTTCTGCCCGACCCCTCAGACGGGCACGCGCTACGAGGTACAGAGCGCGACTTCAGCCACTGACGGGCACAGCTCCTACGCGTCCTACATATGCGACAAGCTTCCCTGTGTGGTAAGTTCCAGAACAACACTTTGTGTATTCGGCTCATACATTACTTAGGGTTGCAGACCAATAAATCAGTTGCCATAGACAACGGTACTCCCACTTCAAAAAATCAGGAAAAATACAAGTTTCTCGGTTTTCAAGACACATGTCGCATTAATACTCACTTCCTCATCTTTCATTTTCCTTTCAATTTTCAGTGGCTTAACCGATGACTTTTGAAGATATTTCTCTCCAGGGAAAATCACCCCTCAAAACAGTCAGGAGGCCCATCGCCATTTTGGAAATTTATGCCTACACTCCATGGCAAAATAGAGCAATTTGGAGGGCCCCGATTTGTCCCATACTTTTAGAAACGCAAGCTGACAGTCCTGCGCCTGCATTCCATCCACCTTTTTAACAAACCCCCTTTTTAATTAACAAACCGCCCAGTCTACGTGCCACGAAAGGCTCTAATAGCAGAGAATTTGACAGCCTACAAACCGTGATCTGGTCCGCCCTGGCATTTTAGACCTATTTACTGGCCTGCAACCTTAGGCGGTTTCGGTTTGTTCAGGCTGCGCAGTACGTTGCAATATCGAGATGTTGTTTCTGGCCCAATTGTATAGTCACGGCAACTGGAAGGGGGGGGGGCGTACTTTTTGAAAGGACAGCTGGTTATCGGTTTCCTTTTTAGTTTTCGTCAAGGTTTGTTTGCCTTCAATGAGACTCAGGATGATTGTGCTTTCGAAGCCTTTTCTTCATAGAATGTTCAGTGCCATTGTGAATGCGCAATGTTGACACTGAGTAAGCCCATCCCACTGTTGTAAGGAGAACGGTTAAGAGTAACGTAAAGCGAATTTTTCGACCTTACAATTCCGGAAATGTTATCCCGGTATTTAGTTAAATTTGTTTTGGTTTTTTTTTTCTTCCTTGGCTAAACAGGTTGACGGTGAAAATGTCATCGCGGCCAACGGAAGGCAGTTGCCTAGCAACATCGTCCAAACGGAATCAGGCACCTGGAAAACGTTGTACGCCCTCATCGTGGGTTGGGGAGGTGTCTGGAATCCCCCCAAGGACGAATACATCGGCCACTTTATATTCGACGCTCAAACAATGTAATGCAGCGCCCTCACTTAGACACCGCACCTCTTGTATGACTTTTTAAGGTGCAGGTCGTTACTTGCTTGTCGTTTTTGAATTATGTTCGTTTGAGGCAACAAAAGCGCCCAAACTGTACTGACTGTCCAACAACCAATTAATAATCTAAGTTATGGTACCGTGAATACCGTAGTTTCCGGAAATAAATCTCGAACTTTGATTTCAAATTAAAGTTGCTTATAGTCTCTTGAATTGCACCCGATTTAAGTGTCTATGTCGTGCACTGAAACAATTAGGCAACACATGGAGTCTGAAAGTCCATGATTACTCGATACGGAGAACTTTTCCTTCACTCCCCTTGCATCAGATTTTATTTTGATCAAGAATTCATGGTTGAAATATCTTAATGCCTTTTTAAAAACACCGTGTTTACTCTATGCCCTCAACTGCGTCGAAATGACGACACCAAAAACGTCAAGCACCATGAAGCGAGAAAATACATGTGGACCAAGAAACTCCCGTGACCGATCATTACAATTTGTTTGCTGTTTGATGTAGGGTTTTAGTTTTTTTTTTTTATAGATTATGAATTTAAATGTTGCTTTTGCTGTTGTAGATTTAGTTATGAAATATTTGCGAGGTAAAGACGTGTAGGCATGACGTCACACGAACATCTGGTCACAAGACAAAATATGCAATGTACCTTTCAATCATCGATTTTGGCAGTTCCTTGAAATTGTGAAGCCATGTTATATTGTCAAACATACGATGGGGTCTTTACAGTACGAATACTGAAAAGATTTGAAATTTGGACGTGTAATATCAAATCCGAGTCGACTCCAATATGCATGGGAAACCGCCTTTGTAGCTTGTCATACAAAAAGCTATCCGTCTTTACCTCGTACCATTTTGTTTTTATTATATAGTGATTACTTTTGTTAGTTTATACAGTTACTCAGAACAGTAACAGTAGTTTCATTCCATCTATCGTACTTTAACAGGAATTGGTCTAAGCACGTTATACTAGTATTGTTTATCGAAGTTCGTTTTACATTTCACGGAACAAACGGTTTTTAGTTCTGAAGAAATGTGGTCTTCGTATTAATAAACTTTCCAAACTGTAACTTTTCAAACGTACCGTTTATGGTTTTAAAATGGCAGATCTCTAGAACAGATATCAACATGCTTTTCCAACACTTGTACATTGGCACTGGACTTCATTCTTTATTCAAAATTACGCTTGATGTTTATGTTTATCGTCTTGCAATCTTTTTACTGAAACGATGCCATTGCTTTGACAATTTGTTATTAAATTATATTGCCCCCATGCAATATCATGTATTGGAGTCCACAAGCCACACCTGCATATTTCAATCACTCTAGGATGAGACAATATCTCGGACAAGACATTTTGTTCCGTGATTGGTAATTGAACTTCTTTATCGTTTCGGCAGAAGTAGTATTGTTTATTTGATGGATAGCTAACATTCGATTCCAACTCAACCGCTTGATTTTGCAATGGATGTTTAATTAATTCAGCACTTTCTTAGATTCGCGAAGTAAAAACATACACAGACGTAGCTTCACACTAAAACCATCAGCGCATTTTTGGCAACGATTTTTACTTGCTCCAACTGAATTGTTGAACAACGTTGTGCATAGGTCTTTAAGTATTGTGTGTAAGTCTGATAACACAATACGACTGAATATATAAAAAAAAAAACATAAAAACAAAACAAAACCTACAAACAATCCTAACTAGGCCCCCATATTTGGATTAAATAACAACGACTTTCGAAGAGCACAAACACGTGCAAAGTCGTCTTGGCAACTCGACATACACACTGCGTTCTGTTTTTACCTCGTGCCGTTTTGTTCTCATTTAAATTACTTGTGTACGTTTGCAGTTAATTAATAATAGAACAATGGTAGTTACTCAGACCAATGTTAAGCATATTTACAGAGTTACTATAACTTAAAGTAGTGGAGTTTCTATAATGACTTAGGAACTAAAATCTGCAATAGGCTCATGTCTATAGATAGCAAGTTGCCTTATCTATGCTGTTATTGCCGGCATAGAATACCGAAAAGTGGCGTCACTTTAAATCAGGCAGCGCAGTGCATACGAATGGAGTACGCACGCGTGTTGTTTCACGTACTGGTTCTTGCGATCATGTCTCTTTGTGTGACGTATTCACTTCAATTGTCTTCCCTCAACTCCAATAAATGGACCATTTCAAAAAGACAAGTAGCTTTTGTTAAGGTATCAAAGATGACTACTATAAGCTCCTTTCTTTAATTTTTATGCGAGTAGGCCTAAAAGTTCGGTGTAGCGTGGGTTAGTGATTTTTAATAAACTTAAACTTTTTCATAAGCATATTTCCTTTGTTTTGTGGCTGGTTCTGTGCTGGGTTATTCTGGTAATGGCTTTTGATGTCCTTTTCTCGGTTTTGTTTATCTTGTGGAGCTATAGGCCTACGTCCTCTTGAACTTTGTCCATGCATCTTAAGGATACCGCTCAAATTGTGGGTCACGCACCCCTTCTTTTAAATGCTGTTAATGTGTTTATGTCATTTGGTGACCCGATTAAATGTGCAGGTTTTTGGAGAACAAACTCAAATTATCTGAAATAGCATGGGCTAATTCAAAGTAGCTTCCTTTTTTCAACACAATTCTTGAAAATCCTGTGCTGTGACCATTTAAACCTTATTTTCATTTTTGTGGTTCAATTTTATTGGGATACTTTAGTGTCTTTTTTCATTTTCATGCCAAGGCTAAAGTTGAACACGAATGAGCATTGAACATAGTAGGGCAGTGGTACAGCTTTATTTTTGCCCCAAAATTAACAAAAATATTTTTAGTGTTGTAAATTGTGTCTACGTTTGTTATCACTAATCATTTCAGTTCATGACATCAAGCCAGTTAGAAAATATTTTCTCACTAGAATTTCAAGGAGCTGATTTTGCGAGCACGATTTGATCAAAATACATGTTCCCGCAAAGAACAGTTTCCTCATTTGCAAGAGACAGCAAGAAAACCACAATGCTTAATTATTTAAAAGCGTTCCTTCCATGAGATTTACCAAAAAAAAAAAAAAATCACATTCAGAAAGAACAAAACGTTGCTGTGACAAGAAATGTTTACGGGTTACAGTTCACTTCTTGTCCTTTTAAAAAGTGCCCCCAATTTAACATTTTTTGGCGGATCACCAAGATAAAACTAAATCTATGACAATAAAGGTTTTCCTTTAGTTGGACATCTCGGCTTACCTTTTGTTAAACACGTCGACGCTAATGCCACCATAAAAGGACGTGGGTCGAGTTGACAGAGCTTTTGACTTTTGGGGGGGGGGACGATAACATTTTACGGCATTTTTTTTTGATCGATAACATTTTACGGCATTTCACACACTCACACCACTTTCCACCTGATACATACATCTCGTGCTTGAAAGCTGGAGACAAGGGATTTCAGGAGGAATTCCAGCTGCAGGGTGCCATCAAAAGTGACTGTCGGCATATGATGGTGAGCAAGATGCTAGGCCTGTGAAGAGGCACAACATTACCAGCTTCTGATAGCTGCACCTTTAACAGCCTCTACTGTGTGACGCATACTGTAAATCAAAATATAGTCTCTTAACTTTTTAACTGTAGCATAATAGCCTATAACGTGGGAAAAGTCTGCTCTGTGGTACAATTTATTTGGAAACATCTAAACTTTGTGACAGGTGAAAGAAAAATAAACGTTTACATAATTATACCAATGTATTCCACTACTCAGTTATACGCATGTACTACTCTAAAATACTCAGTGTATTTGTAAGTCAGTGGTGCTTGGTACCTATATATGACATGTCTTACGGTTACGTGTATTATATTTTCCCTGCCAATTTCGGCAAATGCGCGGTCTAATTTGTAAAATAATATTTCAATTTAGCGTAGATTTTGAAAACAACTTAAAACCTGGTTTCGTTTTCCTTTTGTATCCTTCAAATAAATGAACGTGCATTATGTTTCATTAAAGAGGTTACATATACTTGACTTGGATTTCGGATGACGTCTTCCTTGCCAATTACACCAACTGTGCATTCTTATTAGGTGGAAATCTGTCTTTTACCGTGACCCTTGGAAGGGAGTATTCATTTATATTTGCTATAATTTAAAACTGCAAAATATACGTTCAATTTGATTAAAATATATATACAATGTTACACAAATCACGACACCACTTTAATAAAATATGTCATGTTACTCATTTACAGCGTGTTTGTTATCAAACTGAAAAAAATAAAGCCTGTATGATTGAAACGCAGCACAAGAAAGAAGGTTTCCTCAGCGCAGGTGTTTTTAGGTTTCCTGCAAGGATTGGTAGTTTCCAATGGCAGCATGATTGGTTTATTTCAATAATGAATATAGAAACATTTAACCAATCAACTAAACGCTTTTAAGAATGTAACTTCTGTTGGCACACAAACGAATTCTAATTCTTGACCAGGCATTCCTGAAATAACACACAGGCAAAATCGCCAGCATATTTTGCAAAATAGCATGAGTTCAAATTAAGATGAATACAGGATTGCAGAGGTGCATTCCATTTCCCGCAAAAATGAATATCAATATACTAAACCAGCGCAAATCAGGAAATTGGAAGCTGATTCTATACGACTGAATGCATTCTCGATAAAACAGGTTTGATATTTCTTAAATAGAAACA